GATGGCGCCAGGACGAAGGCCCTACTGGGCAAGGTAAGGCAGCCGCGGGCCGGAGCGCGGACACGGTCTCAGTGGCCCGCGCCCCGCTCGCCCAGTTTTCCCCGGGCTCCGCGGCCGGGCCAGCGCTCATTGTGGCCGCGAACGAGGGCCCAGAGGCTTCCGGAAAAGTATTTCCTGCTTCAGCTCTCCGGATACCTCGCTGGCTCCCTTGCGAAATCGCCCTCTCCGCATGTAGCTGGAGGAACGGAGACGGTAGCGCTTTGGGGCCGAGCTCAACCGGGTCGACAGAATTGCCGGTTCTTCGGCTTTTGCAGGGGTTAGACCGATGATCTCCGAGGTACCTTTTAGGGTCAAGGGATCGTAAATGTGTGCACATTTCCCCAAATTTCCGACTTCCTTGCCTCCCTGGTTTTTATTCCATTCCTTCAGGTAGGCTGTTCGTGATATCTGCTGCTAACCAAACATTTTGGGCTTTCTTGTATCCCTGGTCCCAGAAGGGGGAAGTTGCACGTAGTTTAGGGCGGTGAAGAGTTTGCATTGGTCTGTTGACGTGCATCTCGATTGGTATGTGTTTTACCTGAAGTTAGGTGACTTGTTTACTTTTTGGGTCTTTCTGCCATAGAAATCCTGCAGTTATCTGTGAATGCGTTTTCTTCTTGGAACCTCGTTTCCTGTGTGTCTGACAGGGGAGGCCGAGGAAGGGGCGGTCGGGGTGTAGCTTCTGTTTATTTGTGTGGAAAGTTGTTGGCACTGTCATTTAGTTAAGTAATGGCTGCTCCTATCGGCCCAAGATGGCGGGACAGGGTGGGAGGAGAAAGTGAAGGAGGGGGGGGGTTTAGGGGAGGGAGGAGAGGTAAACATGGAAATAAATAGTAGCGATGAATAGGCCTCTCCTGCGAAGTGTGTAGCTTGGTGGTTTTCAGTACAAATTATCCAAGATGATTTGCGTACAGAATTCTTGTACCCTTTTCAAGCTTGGAAACAGCATTCATAAGCCTGGTAAATGCTTATCAACCTGTAGCACATTTAGTTACCCTTCCATAAGCTATTGAACAAAGGCTGGGGAATCTCCATCTGCCTGCATCAGTTTGTGTCTCCTGACCAAAACCTGATTGAAATGGTATTTGTGGTTTTTCTTCTTAATTGGGACCGTGAAACTTGGGAGTGTGTTAGGTGTTGCCAGTAGATGTGTTTTTTTTTTCCTAGCTGAAATCAGTAGCTTTGCATTTGACATCTAGCTTTATTGTTGCAATTGAGAAGAAAGTTTGAAATGAATAAAGCCTAGCATTTTATTCTGTCTTTTAAAAAATTTTTTTATTTAGTTGTCCTGAATTTTTGTCTGTAGTTTGGTTTAGGAGAGTCCTTTTATCTGTAATTACGCTTTTGTTTTTGTTTCAGAGTAACTAAGTATAAGGGATTTCAATCACAAATAATGACCAGAAAGCTAAACAGAAATAATTCTTTTCAGTAAGTCCAGTCCCTTTGACCCATAGAGGTAACTTGAATTAAACGTTGACTGTAGGTATTAATTGACTTCATTAAAATTATCCAAGGAAAAATGAATAGTGACTAGCTTGGAAATGATTTTAAGCATCAGTGATTTAAGCCTTGGAGAATTTTTTTCAATCTGAGTATTTATTTTATTTAAAAATACTTGGCTACTGTTGAAGTTGTCATTCCAAAAGATTAAACAAAGTACTTTAAATTTAAGGAGCATTATTTTATTTTGGAATGAATAATGCAGGTTTAATAGAAGGTTGGTAAAATTGTTTGCAAAGATAATTCATTTGGAAAAGTTAGGCCAAATCAATTGCTTTTGGTTACAGTAATGAAGAAATAAATGGAATCTGATGTTTTATGTGGCTAATGTGTAAAATGCCAGTCGAAGATTTCATATCTCAGAATGCTCATATTTAGACAGAGTGGATGGCGCGTAACATTGGATTTCAGATTGTAATATTGAACCCTGAAGTTATTATGCACTGTTGAGTTTAAATTTTAAAGAACTGAACATTTTCTAATATTTTTTGTGAACGTGTGTGTTACTTTCTTGATGTTTGAATACAGTGACATCTTAAAAATGAGAAACTAGCGAGCTTCATTATGTTTTGGGGAAGAATTAAGGCTTCATAAAATACTGGGTAATTTGATGAACTACAAACAAGTATTTTGTTGAGCTAAAGAAAAAAAATCTTTATTAAGACTCAGTGCTTGTGAGGTCCTACCTATTTTGGTCAAGATTCATTAGCTTTAATATTAAAATAAAACATTCTAGAGTCTGTGCTTGCAGCTTCATGCAGTTCTCGGTTGCATCTTTGTGAGCCTGAATATACCAGTGAAATGTTTAATATAAAGCTTGACATTATATAACCTCACCCTGTGTTTCAGTTGGATTCTGAATAGAATGAATGAGCTGGAGTCCTTCTATTGGAAGTACTGAATTATTTAGTTTCGTCCATCTTTTGAAAAACAGTATTTTTTTTCTGTGTGTGTGTGTGGAATGTTGAACTATGTTGGTTTCAGAATTCTTATTCTCTGGAAGTCTTAAAAACAAGAGTTGGCTTTTCTTTGTCGGGGTAGGTTCAGGCTACTTAACTGAGGGCAAATAATGGAATTGAATAACTCCCACTATTCTCTTTTTAGCTAGGATTTTTGTCATTACCTCCTTCCCCTCCCCAGACAAATTTAGTCTGCACTTTGTGTAACTTTTTTTTCTTTCTGACAGAAACTTAGCTATTGCTACTTGTTTTAAAAAATTCTTATATATATTATTGGATCTTTGAAGTTTTTTTTTGGATTATGAAAATTTGTAGGTTTGAAAAAAGATAATGCTTGACTTAAAAGCTTTGGAAAGTTTAAAACATTTAATAAGTGTCTCTTGCCCCTGAATTTGTGTGTTCCTTTTCTAGGTGTGAAGATACTTTATCCAAACTGCTGATTTCTCTTAGTCTCTGAATGTTCTGTAAGATTCATTTATATTAGAGTTTTTGATTGAAAGAATTTTTGTTTGTACGTTTGCCATTTTATATATACTGCTTAGGGTTTTGGGTTAAAAAGATAGTAATACAGCATATTGTTTTTGTAGTAATATCTTTAAAATATTTTTAAAAGATCAAAAACAGTGAGTGAGTGCTTAATCAGAGTTCTCGAAATGCAGTATGAACCTGACCACTTTGCTCTTCAAACTAGTTGACCATTAATCTTTTGGTAATATAAGCCAGATTCTAATTTTTACAAAAATTACAGTGGAGGTACTCAAAAGTAATTAAGAAAGGAAACATTTTAACAAATTAACTATGATCACTTTTTAAGTATCATTTGAAAACCGAGTTACTCTTTTAGTTGGATAAGGATTTGAGTTAAAGTATATAGAGTAATATATAGCATAAATATAGTAAGAGTATAAATATGGTACTACTATAGAGCATATTTATAGTAATAATATGCTAACGGCCTGGGGAATCTTTTTAAAATACCATTATGGTTTTATTTTCTATAAAATTTTTATTTTATTTTTCATTTACATTTGACAATACAATATTGTATTAGTTTCAGGTGTACAACATAGTGATTAGACATTTAAATACCTTATGAAGTGATCACGTCTATAAGTCATCTGGCACCATACATAGTTATAAAATATTTTAACTATTCTTTATGTTGTAATTTACATCTTTGTTTTTATAACTGGCAATTTTTATTTCTTAATCCCTTAGACCTTTTTCACCCATCAGGGCTGGGGAATCTTATGTGTATCAGGGAACTATTGCTAAAATACATAGTTATTAATTTTGAAGTATTTTTATATCTGCATGCAGAGTATATGGGAAAATTATTAGGTCAGTTTTAGAGGTGGCTTTTTAAAATTATAATATTTGGATATTGATGATGTTTAAAATTTTGTATTATGTGTGCTTTTTGTTTGCTAAGACTTAAAGAGATATATTTATTTCCAGTGCTAAAGAAGATTAGTGTTTGGGTTACAGAAGTAACCACAGAATGTCATGCTTTGTGTTTGAAAATTAGGTCTTTAATCCGATGAAAAAACTATTTTCTAGTTTGGAAAGTTGTCTTCTAAGCAGTTATAATCATTATTGTTTATCTGGACAGAGTCTCATACAGTTAGTACACATTTGCTAAAATTTTGATACATCCCTGGTAATAAGAGATTATAGAAAATTCTCGTATATCTGGGCACAGATTAGAACTGCAGGAATATATATATACACACAGACACTTTTTAAGTTCTGGCTTTCTTGCCTGGCAGGGCGTGGCTCAGAGGTTGAGCATCGACCTAGGATCCAGGTGATCAGGGTTCTATCCCCAGTCAGGACACATGCCCGGTTGCGGGCTTGATCAATGACTCTCTCATCATTGATGTTTCTATCTCTCTCCCTCTCCTTCCTCTCTATGAAATCAATAAAGATATATTTAAAAAAAAAAAAAAAAAAAAGTTCTGCCTTTCTTTTTCACTGGGTAGTTCTTTCTGTAGAATCAATTACAAGTTGAAATGATTAGGGAACATTCGAGTTTTTGTGACTTAGGTGGTTAAGTGGAACGACAGGTCGTGTACTCTAAACCAAAATGAAGGTTCAGTGCTTGGCTAGCTACAGAGTAAAAAATCATTTTTTTTGACTTGATTATGTAACAGTTAGTTTTTATTTATATAGTACCAGTATTATTTTGCAGGTTTGAAAAGGTTTCTGGTAAGTTTATTTTTATTTTGGAACTCCATTGTAATGCCTTGAGCTCTTTGAAATTGATGTTAATGACTGATAACACTGTGCATTATTTATAATATTTTTGAAATGTGGTAGCCAGAGAGCTAATTTATGTTACAAAAACACCACCAGATTGTCTAAGAATTGAAATGGTGGTTAGGTTATTTAAGGCCCACAGGTATTTATTTGTAGACTAGTTAATCAATGGAGTTTATTTAATGAATGCATAATTGACAGTCTTCTGTACTCATACCCTAGCTTCACATATAATTGTAACAGTTTTCCATATTGGTTTGTAATTTGTCAACAGCA